CATCATAGTGAATTGTAAAAGTAATGGTAATGACACAAAAAGTTATTGGTTATTCTAGGCAGAATTTCTATTAGCATCCAGCACTGACTTAGCTCTACTTCCACTTGAATGACTGTGGCCCCAGCCCCTTACCCTCCTTCTCCCAGTGTCTCAAGGGTATAGAGATCTCTCTAAACCTTATCTTTATCAACCATAGCTTTAAGATTTTATACCGAGAAGATGTTACTCAGTAGGAATTCAGTGAATATCATATAAGTAGCCTTGTTATTTTATACTCTTCTAGAAAATGGAAGCTAAAAGGGTTCAAAGGCTTCTACATTACATTTTGAATAGCCCAGCACCTTTGTTCTAAAAATAAATACACGACTTAAAAATAAATAATGAAGTACGTACAAACCAGAGGCTTACATTGCTTTTGAGGATATGCACATATGATCAGCTGTTGAAAGACTTGCAGTTCAGCTGTGCTGAGCTAAGATTTAGTGACAGGGGCACCCAGGAATCAGGCTCAAAGGCAGAAACTTAAGTCTTTTCCTTAGAGAACACAAAATGGATAGGGAGACATTAGACTAGATAACATGGAGAGATAACACACGGTACCAAAAGTCTTGGATGCTTTCCAGCAGCATGGAAGACTGGTATGGCCAATCTTTAGGCCAAGATTCAATGAAGAACATTAAGCACAATTATAAGTTTATTCTTACTTGGCAAAGCACATCAGTTTATGCTTATCTTTAACTTGTGATTATTGAAGATAATAAAATTTATGTGTGCACTTAAAATTAAGCAAGAGCTTGTTTTGTTGAAAGGAATCCATAGTATGCTGGGGAGAATGTATGCTGGCCTGATCTGGCCAAGGGAGGCTGTTTTTACATAAGGCTGCATGACAAGGTAAAATGCAGGGAAAACTTTTTGAAGTAGATTTCCTCATCCTCACTTCCCACTCCATATCCTCCCACCTTCCTAAATTACCCTTTTTACGTCTGAATTGATGGAAAGACAAAGAAACCACTGTAACTGAGTAGAGCTGCAGAACGCAGCAAAAATCGCAAGGGGCAAGACTGATAAAAGCAAGTCTGGTCCAGCTTGAATATATGAGGCAAAATAAGCCTAAGAAAGCTAAAAATGTACATTGACAATGAAGGACAAAGAGTATTAGAAGCATCGTTGCTGCAGTCTGCTAAATCATTTGCAGCAGACAAAAGATACAAAAAGAATTGGCAAATAGAATTAATAGAAGAGGATAAAAAAATAGCAAAATTATTAAATTAGTTTTTTCATAATTATTTTAAACAGCGTAGCACATGCTCTAGTATTCTGAGAGTTAGGCAGTTAGGCACTTGTACATATTTTTTTCGTTGTTTTGAATGAAAATAAAGCATATGATTAAAAGTCTTTCCTAAATAAGAGTATTTTTCTGAAATCAGGCTTAAGAGAGAAATGGAGAGCTCCTTGAGCAGGAATCACATTTCCAGACACAGGTCCTGGTTCAACCATGTGTATGTGTGATGCTATATTTGAAAATAGTGTGTGCACGTATCGCAGAGGGAGTACTTAATGTGCTTGAAGTTGGCAGCATGCTTGAGCACTCTGTTAGATTGTGGTGAGAGAGAGAAGGTAAAAGCTGTAAAGGAGAAAGAAAATACTTGTGAAAGGTTCAGGCATTTTTCCAGATAACTGGTACACTGTAGTGTGCTTGCTATTAATGCTGTAACTTGCTATGTAAACCCCTTCAGAGCAGAATTCTGTTCGCGTATCTGATATGACTTTGAAATTCAGACTTTGCTATTACCAGATCCAGGTAACATTTGAAAAAGAACAACTGGTTTTATTGAGAAGGGATAGAATTATTTATTTTTCTCAGGGGACATAGGGGATAGGAACAAAGTTTGGCAGCAGGTAAGAAGCCCTACACTCTAGGTTTTTAAGGAACTAAAACCTAAGCTTTAGGGGAAAATGTTAGATGTATAAAATAAGTCACTACTAACTGATTCAGTTTTTAAGAAATATAGTGACAATATACTTGGTTTTAGAAAATGAATGTTTTGAAAGGAATAACTATTCTGGAGACAGAAAATACTGACTTACAGAGGTCTTGCTGTAAGGAATAAATGCAATACTTTGACTATTGCCATGGTCCCTCAGAAGATAGTGAGAAATTGAAGAGAACATTAGAAGTATGCATTAGGAAGATTAATTTGTTTCCTGAGTTAACTTTATTTGAAATTAAAGAATCTCAGCTATTTTTTTTACCTTTCTCTTTCCTTGTAGTTCTGTAAAGTCAATAACTACAAAACCTTTTATACACTATACAGTTTCAGCTTTTAAGTTATTTTTAATTTTCATTTGTTCATAGGCTTTATATCATTATTCACTCAGTCTAGATATAATAAAAAAACTCAAATAAAGAACGTGCTCAAGACTTTCTTGGTCTTACACTCCATTTGGATGGTGTTCAAGTTTAGCTGAATATTAAAACCTTAGGAGGATTATCCAAATGATACCTGTAGATCAGTGTTTTTCAACCTGTAGTCTTCCATCTGTGAATCTCAAGATTATTCCTGAATGGTCCATAAA